AAAACCAACATTTGTGGCAGTGCAGCATACCAGACCAACTCAGACAATTCCTTGACTGTATAGAATTAAAGTCATTTTTATAACTGCTTTTTTTAGTCCTTCACTTTTTATTTGCCTTAATATATGCTTTTGATCAGTTCACTTACCAGCATCTATGTTTTGACAGATCTTGCTTTTGGGAAACTGACAGATTTTTCATCTAAAGCAGTTTCTGTAGGTTCTGTCATGGGTAATATCTGTTTTGTACAGTTGCTGCTTTTTAAAATCGAAGTTCAGTCCTCAGGCTAACAATTTGTTTATGGCAGTCTGCATTTGCTGGTGTTACTAGAAGGCTAAAAGATATTTTCCTTGCATATGTATGTATATATATATATATATAAATATATATATATATATTTAAAAACTCTGCTTTTCATTTTTATTGCAATTTGACGTACTGTGTTATACTGTCAAATGCTATGCTGCAGCTTTGACTTGGTATCCTGACCAAATCAGTGGAAAACTCTGGTTTCTTAAAAGGGAAAGGTCGTGCAGGGAAAGTAAACTGAACTGAATAAGCAAAGTATATCTCGTGCACAGCCCTATAACAATAGTTATATTCTGTTTTTTGATGGAAAAGAGTTCACACACAACTGTCAACACGTTGCTTGTAGGTGTTGAAGGATGCAGTCCTATACATTGTTACCTGAGAGTAATTGCTACTGAACACCATAGGAGTTATTTCTGAGGTAACATGCGTAGCATTGTACTGGAAATGACTTGGTTAGACAAAAGAAAATCGTAAACTGCACTCCTTCAGCAGTCTGTTCTTTCTCCTTCTTGCTTGTGTGAATATAAAGTTTATTTTTGTACATGGAGACCAGACATTGTGTATACCAAATAAGCTCAGTTAAGTTATAGTATACAAATCATGCATTATATCCATAAACAAATTAGTTTCCTTTTCATTTTACAATAGTAAAGGCTTTTCAGGATGGACAAGCAAGTAGAATATGTAACAAACTCAGCAGGCCACTGAGAATTCAAAAATCTACTTCTAACTAGCTCTGTAACATTAAGCTACTTGCCTTTCTGTGCCTCCCTTACTCTACCTAAAAAGTGTATTCAGCTTCTTAAAATGCATTCAGTGTAAACAGAAAATTATGCTGTAAATGCAAAAGGCAAGTGAAATTGCCTACCCTGAAACTGCTTTGGACTCTAGGCATTACACTGTTTAAAAACATTACCTAAAATTGTTGTGTCCAAAGCTGTTCTGGATTTTCCTTCCTTTTGGAAGCATGACACAATAGTAAGTTCTAACAGGACGGCAATGGAGAATGTAATACGTAATTGAATGTGGGAATTTTTTAAAAGAAAGCTAGCACCATACAAATTAAGAAAAGTTGCTTCAACTGTAAGCTTTAATCCTGAACACACTTAGTCGAAAGTGCACTGTTTTAAAAGCAGAGGAATGAAATTTGAAGATACATGCCACAGAAGTTCCATTCCCGGAACAGAATTACACTCTGGTCCCAATGACATTACACAGAAGCAAGTATTGATGAAACCGGTGGGGCTGTTTTGGGTACCATCCAGCTGAAATGAAGTGTTTTGAAGTTCTTTGGACTTTAATAGGAATTCTGAGCACACAATGACAGTGGAACTTCACAGTGCTTAACTTTGGTTGGCTGATGTCCAGTATTTTTTTAGGATCATGATGCTAGGCTTTAATCATACAATCACTCTTTCTTCTGCTAGAGCCAGAAACATGGGTAAGCCTGGGATCATTTAGTGCAGAGACAAGTCAGATTGTTGTTGTGTGAATAAGACTTGCAGATTTGTGTGTGGGGGGGGGTTATGTCTTCCTCACCACAATAGCCTCCCAATTGGCTTGACTTCAAGAGTGGTTTACTTTAATGTAAAATTGCTTTGCATCTCCTACACTCTTTATATATAGCATGTTATGTACCTAGTATAGGTGAGCTCTCACTAAAAGGACTCACTTCCTAAATAATTTCCACACTAGGAATAGTTTTCCCATTCACGTGAACTGAAAGAGAGAGAAAATGCACATTCTTCAGCATTTACAGATATGCTCCTTCTGTTGAACTGAATGGGGCACCACACATACAAAGGACACTGAAGAGCTGTGTTATGGAAATCTATGGAATGTGAGCTCAGTCAATCCTTTAGTGAATGGAACTGGAAACAATGTTGTAATCTGTTGATAGCTGAGATAGACTTTTTTTTAAAAAATGATGCCCTTATATTGTTTATTCTTTTGTTTATGTTTAAAATTTTATCCAATTGCTTTTTAAAAATCTCAACACTTTTACAGCACAATCCTAAATAGAGTTATACCCTTCTAATCCCATTGGTTTCAATGGATTTAGAAGGTGTGACTCTCCTTGGGATTTCATTGTAAGAGATTCAGAGGATTCTAGAGATCAAAAACAGATAAAAATAAGATAATAGGTTTGAGTTTGAGGAATTACATAGAAAGAAAACTCTGTATTCTTTCCACTCAAGGAAAGTGATCGTAATGTCAATAAAATACATTATTTCACTAATCTTTAAATAACAAATGAAGAATTGCAGGAAGAAGGTAAACAAGAAAGAATTCTTTAACCAAGTGGCAAAGCGTGCAATCCTATGTACGCTTACTCACATGTAAGCCCCACTGAACTCACTGGGACTTTCTTCTGAGCAAACATGCATAGTATTGTATCGGAGTCTTTGTAATCCCTGTCCCCAGTCATATAATTATGCAGGAATCCAATGCTGTTTTGTTTTTATACGTTGCGCATACATTTTTAAAGTTGTTCAGTCTTTCAGGTTTCACTTTTGCATATATATTGTTTGATTAGTTTATTGTTTATTTAGGAGTCAGCCATTTCAGTAGCATA